TCCATCCTCAACCAACCCCACCATTAATCCAATCCCTCCCCCCGTAAATCCACCCTCCTCGCCTCCCTCTTTTTCGTCGCCCCACTCCACCTTAAATTCCAAACACTGCACACCTCGACCCCCCCCCCTGCTTCCCCTTTACTCCCTCTCTCTCTCTCTCTAGCCCCTCCCTCTCTCTTCATGTGTGCTGGTGCGCGCCGTGCTCGGCTTTCCGGCTTCTCCTCTTTTGGGCAAGGAGCAAAGGCCGCTCGCCCTTGTCCAGGCTCCGCATTCCGGCGTCACTGCGCGCAAGTAAGAACAGTGAGGCGCCTGGCTTCTCCGGTGTTCTGACTGAGGGTGCGCTGAGGCCGGGGAGCTCGTCATGGAGTTCTCGTTCAATGGGGTTTGATGCGAGGTGATGTGCCTAGGTAATTTCTTCTGGCTGTGCTCCGTCTCTCGTTTAGGTGTCGAATTGTCCTGTGCCCTCAGAATTCTGCCTAGTCATCTTATGGTGTGTTCTGATGTCGACAGGGCCCCTAATTCCTGCACATTGTCCGGATTTTGTTCTTTCGAATTCCCTGTATGTTGGCATGTTGCGTTCGATGTTCAGCTGTTCGATTTAGTTTCCTTGCTTGCGTGCTTCCTCCCCCTCACATGGAAGTGGAACTGTGCTCTCAGACGATGCGTAGCTTTCTTCTGGAGACAAAATTGCCCTTTCCTCGCTCATGTGCAACTTTAGGTTCCTCAGTTGGCTAATGTACCTTTTCCCTTTCTTGCGCAGATAAAGCGGTTGGGATAAGTTTGTAAATTGCTTTGTCAAATCAGGACAAGATTCTGAATTAGGGGGGAACCTATCGCACAGTAGTTTGTTCATCAGACAGGCCGAAGGATATGTCATCACCTAACAATTCTGTCAGCGCGGCGCTGTCAGAAAAGACCCCCGTGTTTCAGTTGAGAGTATGGCAGTTGATTGCCATTGCCGTTGGGATAGTCATGGCTATCCTGCTCGTCGTCGCGCTGTGCCTTTCGTTCCTGAGGAAAAAGAAGACGGTGAAAGGGTTTGACAACACTTCGCTGGCTGAGATCCCCATCGTTTCTAAGGAAATCAACGTTGACAGAGTTGATGCGCAGAATCTGCGTGACGGTGAAGCGCCCTTCATGCCGGTGCAGGATAAATATGCGCAGACCAAAGGTGCGGGGCAGTTGGGAGAGAGTAGATCCGTCGATGTCGATACCTTCAGCCAGTGCAGCTCAGTGTACAACGTAGAGAAGGCTGGGAGCTCAGTGTACTCTGAAGATTATAGTTACAGCAGCTCTGGTCCAGCTAGGAAAGGTAGCTCACCGTATGCATATTCAGCATCACCGCTGGTTGGCCTGCCTGAATTATCACATTTGGGCTGGGGCCACTGGTTTACCTTGAGAGACCTGGAGTGCGCAACGAATCGGTTTGCAAAGAGTAATGTTCTTGGGGAGGGTGGCTATGGAGTTGTCTACAAGGGCCACCTGGTGAATGGGACTGAGATTGCCGTGAAGAAGATCCTTAATAATGTGTAAGTGTACAGTCTTGCTGAGTTTACCTTGTATTAGCTTAGAGCTAAGATTTGATATCTGGGTTTGCAGGGGGCAGGCAGAGAAGGAATTTAGAGTCGAAGTTGAAGCCATCGGTCATGTTCGGCATAAGAATCTGGTCCGCCTTCTGGGATACTGCATGGAAGGGATACATAGGTTAGCATTTCGTCCTTTTGGTTCCTTCTTTCTGCTTAGTTTATGACCTTGATAATGAAGATAATAAAAGTTGCTAGGACGAGCACATATGCTTCAACTTCTACAAGTTTATCATGATATCTGTAGTTCTGTACTAGACATTATGTCCTGAAGATTCACAGTGGAGTAAGCAGTCAATACCATAAAAGAAGTTATTTTTCTGTGGTGTATACTTGTATCCAATGCTAGTTTGAGCTTTCCCCCTTTTCATTGTTTCATTTTTATTAGTATTTCTGGCAAAAAAAAAAGCCATTTCAAGGTTCAAACTATAGTAATAATAGTTGTTTTTACAAAAGATTTTCATTGCATACGTTATTGTTCTGAATATTTACCTGCAGGATGCTTGTCTACGAGTATGTCAATAATGGCAACCTAGAACAATGGCTTCATGGCATGAATCAACACGGTGTCCTTAGTTGGGAAAACCGTATGAAGATTCTCCTTGGCACTGCAAAGGCGTAAGTTTGGAATTTGGACATGTTTCACTTTATTTCCTGAAATCTTGTTTGACATGGACTGTTGGCTATTACATGCTAATGCCAGTGTTCATGATTTGCAGTCTCGCGTATCTTCATGAGGCCATAGACCCCAAAGTTGTACACAGAGATATCAAGTCAAGTAATATCTTAATAGACGATGAATTCAACAGCAAGGTTTCTGATTTTGGTTTGGCTAAACTTCTGAATTCTGACAAAAGTCATATCAATACAAGAGTGATGGGAACATATGGGTATAGCTCTGTTTTAATCACATTCCTTGTCTTATTGTTATCTCTTCTATCATCTGGAAAGCTGGAAAGAAGTTTCCTAATGTTCTTAATCTGATGCCAGGTATGTAGCACCTGAATATGCAAACAGTGGAATGCTAAATGAAAAGAGTGATATTTACAGTTTTGGAGTGGTGTTGTTAGAATGTGTGACAGCTAGGGATCCAGTTGATTACACTAAGCCTGCAGATGAGGTATGACTTTTTTCCCATTTCAGAGAATTGGTGTGATTGCATTTCCAGTTACTCCATAAACCTCATCTATTGTTTGTTTCAGGTGAATCTCATAGAGTGGCTTAAAATGATGGTTACCAGTAAGAGGGCAGAGGAGGTAGTGGATCCAAACCTCAAGGTTAAGCCACCAAAACGTGCCCTTAAGCGGGCAATCTTGGTTGGCTTCAAGTGTGTCGATCCTGATGCTGACAAGAGGCCAAAGATGAGTCACGTTGTCCAGATGCTTGAAGCAGTTCAGAATGCATATCATCAAGTACTCATCTCATCCTAACATCTTTCTTTCTCGGTACTCTTGCTTTTTGATCACCAGAGATATGTATCCTTCTTGGATCATCTTTTAACATCAGCGCGTTTTTCTTATCAATGCAGGACCAAAGAAAGCTCAGCCAGGTGGGAAGCATGGATATCGAGTCACAGCAGTCGCCAGAGGAGACTTCAAACAGTGCTGATGCTTGAACCTCTGATTCTGAACAAGCACATCAAATAGGAGCCTGAAATCATCTGATAACAACATTGATTTGATCATTGCTCAGTATTTAATAGAGTGAGCACATCAGGTTTACAGTTTGCATATACTGGAGGTGGTGGTTATCAATTAGTAGCAAGTTCATTTTTGTTTTTTTTACCCCTGTTTCCGGGTGTGCTTCTATACTCCCCTAAAAGGTTCATCTCTTTTACCCTTAGGATATGTATAGTTTTCCTTTAGGGGAGCATAGAAGCACCTTCATCTTTATTTGTCGTTTGAGTTACCAGGAGGGACTAACCTCAGGCTTATAACTACAGTCACTGGATTTCGTTACCCATGTGTAGTGGCTTTATGGGAACTCATTATTACCCTATGTGCCTGTTTAGTTTGCAAAAATTTTCAAGATTTCCCATCACATCGAATCTTTGGACGCATGCATGAAGCATTAAATATAAATAAAAAATAAAACTAATTACACAGTTTAGACGAAATTCACGAGACGAATCTTTTAAGCCTAATTAGACTATGATTGGACACTAATTGCCAAATAACAACGAAAGTGCTACAGTATCATTTCCCAAAAAAATTCGCCAACTAAACCAGGCCTATATGAAAACATGAAATTCCTGCTGTGAAGTACTAGCATCTGAATCATTATTTTTCTCACAATTTTCACCCTGATCGAAGGTGTCTGCACAAGCAGATGGCGGTCCTCGGAAACAAGATAGCACACTACTCTGTTGTGATATCAGTTGATGTCAGTGGCTACCAAACTAATCATTTGAACGATTGAATATTGCATTCTTGACTGCTGAAATCTGGGGGCAGGCCCTGACACCTGGAAACCGATTGTTTTCTTGTTCCTGCACATGAATGATTACAGGATCCCAATGATTGGTGCCTGCTTGTTTTACAAGTTTTGACACCTTCGTTACCCTTTTTGAAGGACTCGAATCAATGATTGGCACCTTTGCAGCTGGTTCTGTTACTGAGGCCCTGTTCGCTTCGCTGAAAAGCCATGGCTGAAAGTACTGTTCGTTGATTTGTTATGAGAAAAAAAACACTGTTCTTTCGCTGAAACAGTACGGCTTATGAGACAAGCGAAAACCCGCACTCCTTGCACTTCTCTTTGCTCGACACATCATTCGGTGAGTCTTGTGTTATAAGCATACGAAATTAGCATTTGCTAACTGATGGACAGTGCTTCCATGAGTGTGCTTCACCGAATCATCTGACTGACTCGCAGTCTTTTTGGGGTTTCTTTTCCTGAATCCTGACCAGCAGATTTCTCCGACCAACCAATCATGCCGTGTCTACCGTTTGGAACAAGGATTCCTCCTCGTTTTCCTGTCCGGCAAGATTGCCACGTCCCCCCTAACAGGCAACCTGATAGACGTGGACGATGGCAATTGGCAACACAACCGCCCGAAGACACAGCACAGCACAATGGTGGCCGAAACCAACAGAGCTCGGAAGCTCCCGGTGGCTAGGGCTTTCCCAAGTCCAATCGACAACTACCGTTAAAGTCTTCAGAAACAGATCTGGCGTTTGACGGACACTGGCACGGCGCTGAACGCCATGCTGCACGCAACGACTCAATAAGAAACAACCATGGCCGCGATCTCAAGCAATAGAGGAAAGCCAACCTGGTGCTACAATTATATCCACCGTTTTGATGTCAAATTCCTCGATTACAATTCTTAGACACGTGTAAGTATACCATGTACCCGACTTCTCTTCAGTTGCAGTCTTTCAAACAAGACCTTGCACGTTAGCAAATAAATTTCCCATCTCAGGAAATAAGAATGTACCCTTCATCAGAGGCCGCAGATGAGCTCGGTGGGGAGCCATGCCGGCTAAGGCCTTCCCTGACCTTGCCGTGCTGCTCTGCTTCATGCTGGAACATCGAAACCAGCTGCTGGAGCTCCAGCTTCCTCACCTTCATCTTCTCACTGTTAACTGGATTTTGTAACCCAAGATACAGCATCCCCACGCCGATTAGGACGATACCAATAAAGAAGAGAAGTCCCGCAAACAAACCAAAAGCATAGGGAGTATTCTGCGCTCCAGGTATGCCATCAACGTTGATTCCAAAAAGGCCAGTGATTATGGATAAAACCATGCCACAACCACCAAATATTGCCAAATTATGTGTAACTCGGAGGCTTCTATCCTGCAAAAAGGCAAAAATCGGCAATCCAGCAAATTTTCAAATCAACATTGCTACAAGAAATGCAAAAAAGCAAATGAGTTGTACCTGTAACCACGCACGAACAGTGCTCTGCATAACATCCTGAATAGTGAACAAGCGCCCACGCACAGCTTCCTGCTCTTCCAACATGTCCCTTGTACACTTTCTAATGCTCTCTAAAATAGCTCTTGTGGCATTACCCCTCAAATGTCTGAGAAGCTCAAGTAATATCTCTTCCCTTGCATGAAGTGACCATTTAACCCTGATTACCTACAGCAGCGATGTCTATGTTCTTATACATTCCAGCTTATCAAATATGACCAGAGTACCAGACAAAAAATAACATGCAGAAAAGCTGTGTGCAAAAGCCTTAGACCTTCATCGTGGTCTAAAAAAGGATATGGATGCCTAATATGTGAATTATACATTCAGATTGTTATGGCTGGGCCTTGCGCCAATCCAGTGATGCAGCAGCGGTGCATACGGTGAGGCAGCAATTTACTTGTGTTGCAATTAGTTTGTTAGCTTGTTAGCATCATCCATTGGTTAGCTAGCTAGCTAGTTATTCGTTAGTTAGCCTTATCTCGTAGCTGTTTCTAGTTTGTTAGGTTCAATGGTTCAATTGGTAACAATTAAAGGATGAGCTCTACCCTGTAATTGGCAAACAAGAAGCAGAAGAAACCCTAAAAGCAGTCAGAGCCTCTAGACAGATGACGACGAGTCGATTTCTTTCTGCTATCCCATCCATTCCTAGTCAATCCATATCACTAATAGTGACAAAACACCCACAAAAGAAAACAAAAGGACTGACAACACAGGCAGAGACGAAGAAACAGGTACTAAAATGCATAATTTCAACAGAGCAACCAGGATTTGGCTATTGACTTAATATTAGGACACTTCCAGATTTGCTACCAATGTTATGACTAGGGATCGATCAGTCTGATGCAACTGAGCCACGCCATGTATGAGAACCTTTGAGCCACTCTCTGAAACTGCCATAGAGTGAGTATTTTTATGGTCAATGAAATGATGAAATACATCTGGTGCTGCCAATAAAGAAAATAATACTAATGGACTAGTACTTCCTTTAATCCTAAATATGACATTTTTAACTTTGACTATCAATGTCTAAAAATTTATATAGATTTTTTCTGAGGAACTACTGTAAGCTTACGCCGATCTGAACTTGTATTAAAATCGAGAAGGTTTAAGCATACATTATTTTGTGAAGCAAGAGAAGAAAAGAAGACTACATCCGTCTTAGGCTGTTACAGATCCTAGCTTCACTCCAGAGATGCAGAAGGCCCTTGTGCTACAAATTGGATGATCAGTAGAGCCCTGTTGACCAGATACAGCCCTGAAAAATCTTGGCATTTATATGGATTGTGGTTCATCCTGTTCACTGATGCTGAAATTTGGCTTATGCTGAAATGTTGTGAGAGGAAAACACTGTTCCATGGCTGAAAAGTAGTTCTGAATAAGCTCAAGCGAACAGGGCCAGGTCAACACTCTAGATTCATTATGAAAATACTTTCATAATATAACTCTTTTCAAATAAGAAAGTATACGTATGTTTGGGGCACTGCCCACCTCTTAATGAAATACACGCAAAGCGCATTCTCGAGAAAATATAAGTATATTTTCATAGATACTGCTAGTCAAAGTTAGTAAAGTTTGACTTACGATAGACCTAGATGGACTTATATATTTTATCATAGGAAGTAGTCAATTACTGTTAATGTGCAATTCCATAGGAGCAACCCAATGTATCCAATCCAATTTTCTAATATTGTTTAAAAAATAGTAGTCACATCACGTCAACCACTCTAGTAAATTTGGAAATGATAAAATTTTCAATATGCATTTATTGGTAGAAACAAATATTGACAAAAAGGGGATCAATATTGCATGCTTACCTGTGTTGCTAACCTTCTGATTTCCTGATTTAGTATGATGCTGACAAGATTAAGATCTTCACGATTTCTCCTGTAAATTTGATATTTTAAACATGTAATACACATTCAATAGAAGCTTGCTAACTTAAAATGTGACGAAAATCAGTTCATTTAGAACATTAACAGTTTAGAACATCAGACAAAAGGCTAAAACAAAAATGCTCCGTCAGTTGAGATGTGCCTGCACAGTGCTCTTACCTATTCACAAATTTCAATTCAATTTCGTCTGCTTCCCCAAATACATATTTCCGGAATAATCTGGAATAACAATGTAACAGCAATTTTTAGTAATTTTGTTGCAAGACACAAGTATCTAGCTATAATAAGATATAATAAGGAATAGAGTTCTGCTACCTACTGTTACAAGATCAATGAAAAAAAAACAATGGCGAAAGATGAAAAGGAAATAGAGATTCAAACTCTCACCTGTCATCCCAACGTGAAAGACGGCTGACCAAATGTGCAATTACTTCATGCACTGATCTAGGTGTTTGGCTTCCACCAGCAAGAAGCAACTCCTGGACAGATTTTTGTAAGCATGTATTAACTAGCAAGCTTAAACACTAAACACTCCGAGTTTGGTACCTGCACTTCAGTCACTCCTAACACATTTATATTGGATGAAGGGCCTTTAACATGCATTGTTGTAACAAGAAAATTTTGTGCTTGCCAAGACCTAAGCACAATAGGTATATCTTCCTCTTCATGATTTGGATCTCCGATTGACTGACCAAGAAGCTCAAATAACAGTCCTCCTGCAACTCTAACTGGGACCTGAAAAGCTAACAGAAAATTATAATAAATATGATATGACAACACATTAATACAGAGTCAGCTAATACATTGAGCTGTTAGAACATTTTCTTCTAACACTGACATGTGACGCAAGAGATATACTACAAAATGGTCAGCACTCAGCACCATTGTGGATTCATGGTTCAATAACTAATAAAATGGGTATCTGTCACTAGAAAACATAGAAATAAGAAATATTGGACTAAAACTGCCTTTTTTCAGTTAATCTACACTAAGTATCAAGCGTAGAGATACACAAAAAGTAGAAAATTACTTGGTGATGTTTTTACAAATATATACTACACAGCAGATCCACTACTTGGAGAGAATAGTATGTTGTTAAGTCAAAGCTGATTTAAACACTCAATTTGGGTGTATGTGATGCTTATGCCACCACAAACTCTACAGTGAAATGGTCAATCACACAGTTAGCATATGAAAAATATGGTAACACAGAATATTAACAGAGAATTCTCTTGGGCATGAACAGCTAGCAATATGTACATTAAGAGTAGTTATTGCAATTTACAACATGAATACAGTCTATTTCTTGTTTGTTCAAGAGATATATAGCAATATAGGGGGACTAGGTTCAAAAAAACTCAGTAGCTACTGTTATGGGAACCTTCAGACACGGTAAAATCATACTGAAGGACATTGACTAATTTGCGTAAAAGCAATGTGAAGTTGAAGAGCACATGTACTTGCATCAAGCCATCAAGTAGAAATTACAAGGAGAGATGATTGTATGCACTCCAGATTCAAGGTATGGAATTGCGAAACAGTAAACAGCTGATGATGGTTTTATATGTATCTTAATTGTTAAACAGATGAGAATCAGAGAGAAAACCTCGTAGAGAAGGTACTTCATCCGGTCGCTTATCAGTTTGCTCTCATCTCTCAGTGCAGTTCTGATGGCAGGATGCATCCAGTGAGCGCTATTCAACCATGCATCGATTGAAGGATGGCCTGCGGTCACATGACACCACCAAGTAGGGCCCACAGGATGCTGCCAGTATGGAGCTGCCAGATCAGCCACAGTGTAATCATCCTCACTATCACTCATCTCCATCACCTCATTCTCCCAGCTGGAGTCTGATTGAACCCTGAGGACCAGCTCAGCGATCCTACTCCATCCAATGGGCACCCATTTATGATCCAAAATCTCCCCAGAATACAGTGGCCTATCTTTGGGCACTGAAGGATCATTACTGAAATCCGTCTGATGGGGGTTTTCCAACACAATGCTCTCATCCACTTTCGGCACAGTGATCTGGTGCCCATTCCTTCTTGAGTGCTTCCTCGTGTACATAGTGGGGCCTTTCTCCTGCATCTGCTCAATTGCTGGCCATGATTTGTGCTGAACAGGCTTCTTATGACTCTTGACCAGCTCAAAAGCACAGATGAGCCCATCCGTCCAGAGCTCGCTCCCTAGAATGGGCTCTTTCCCCAGACTGGGCTTGGTAACACCATCTAGCGTCTTGGACATGCTGCTGACCTGAGGCGGCTGCTGCTCCTCTACAGCATTCATCTTCCCATCAAATTCTATCTACCTGTGAATGGATAAAAGATATTTAAACTCGTTAGAAAATTTAGTGGGTACTGAATACTGATTACTGAATATGAGTATATGACTCATCTCTTCAAACATGAGCTATTATTGAGGAACTGGATTCAAAGGTCCAAACAACTGTTCCAGGGAATTCTGGACGAAGTAGCAAACGTTCATGGGAACAACATTACAACAGGGCCGGATTATTGTATATTAAACATTAAAATCACAATTCTACAATCACCTAACCATACTTATGATGGCAAAACGTAGCAGGATAGATTTTCCTAGATGAGCAGAAATGCAGAATACGAATTAGAAGAGGTGTCATGATTTGTAACGAGAATTCAAGCAAATCAAGGCAATAAGCCTACAGCTAAACGCGGGATTCAGGAAACAGCGCCGGCCCCAAAACCTAGCGCCAGTGCCGGGGGCAAACCTTTCCTGAAGTCGCTGGCAGACCCCAGCCACCGCACGCTACGTTCTGAGCACGCAAGAGTACAGTGAACTATAGCTTCGCAGACGAGAGCAGCAAAATGAATTTTCGAGGAGACGGAGGCGGAGGGGTCAGGTGTGGGGGCGGTGGTGGTTACCGGAGCGGAAGAGACGACGGCGAGGGAACCGGGTCTGGGACCGTGGGACGTGAGGCGTGGGCGGCGGCGCGGAGTGGAGCGGGCGCTTCCAGAATGGAATCACATGCAGCTCTCTTTCGTCTTCCCATCGCCGGAAGAAAATTTGCTGGATCCGGTATCCAAACTCCCTCCCGTGCATACTAGATTACCGACGCGTCCAAAACACGCCCTTAGATTACCGACGCGTGGACTCATTTCTTGATCCGACTCCCGTTTGCTAGTACGCCCAGTTCGAGGCGACTAGCTTCCGAAGCTTCAGCTTCAGCTCGTTTCGCAACGAACGGCTCCGGGCATTCGGCTTACACTCGCGAGCCTGCTGCACGCAGCCGACGCAGTTCTCCTCCTCCAAGCCGTGTCGGCGTCACCCTCACGGGCTCACGGCTTCAAACGCAAATTGTTGGAGCGAGTGAGCCAAGTGGAAAAGAAGAAGCCGAGCGCATAGTAGGGAAGAAGCTGGCGGAGGAGCCGCCTTCCAGCTCCAGGTTGGTGGACACCTGTCTTCCATCCGAAGAAGGTATATATACACGAGAAAGACGGTGGAGCGAATTGGACGGTGATGGCTGATGGGGAGCCCTTTGCGCTTTGCGGAGTCACCTCTCTTGTCAACGTCTGGTCCACGCGTTGGAACTTGGAAGCACACGGCGTAGGCCATGGGCGGCGGCAGACCACCATCCCTTGTTACCTCCTGCCTGCCAATGCGTGTGCCGCCGACCCAGCGGGCGGTGCCCACCTTTGTGGGCGACCTCCGTAACGTGCTAGGATCTCCGTTGTATCCGTTCGCCGTGCACGGGTGCTTCCGTTCCACACAGTACACCACCACGCGACTCCTTTGCATCATAGTTTAGCCCGTACTGGTAACGCCTGAGACCGCCTCCAACAAACGTTACCCAAAATACAAGACACATTCCACGTTTGAATAAGCAAAATGTTTAATATCTATTTTTTGTCTTCTCCAACAATAAGACCTAAAAAAGAACCATTTCTACAAATAGGTCTTCAGAAGAGATAGTACTCATATTTAAGTTATACCTCTTATGACACCTAAAATAGATCTCCTATACTCTGTTGGAGACTATATGTATTTTATTAGAGGCCCATTGTGACGGATCTCTGTTGGAGACAGACAGACAGAGAGGGTATACTTTGTGCGCATTACAACAGGAAAAAATCGGAGATTCTGCAGTGCAGGCACAAAGGTACTGTAGGGTTATCACTTGTCAGGCCCTGACAGGCAAGCACATCAGTAAGCGAATTTTGACCCAGGCTTTGTTCACTTTGCAAATTTTTTTAACCCGATGAATAATACCACTTTCGTCTTATTTGGTAAATATTGTTCAATCGTGGACCAACTAAGCTCAAAAGATTCATCTCGTAATTTTCAACTAAACTGTATAATTAGTTTTTTTTTTACCTACATTTAATACTCCAGCGGCTAAAAATTAATGTGATAGAAAGAGAGTGAAAAAACTTAGAATTTAGATGGCATCTAAACAAGGCCCCAGTAAGCGCCTTGATCAGACCATAAGCTATTCACAGATTGCGTTGATTAGAAGTCAGTTAATTGCGATGTCTCGTTTGATGAGCCCCCCACGTGTACTCTATTTCTTACACCATGCTGCAGCACAGCTGCAGAGGCCACCAGCAACGCCCTGCACTGTCTGTAGAGGCTTCTATCGACGCTCGGATAAGCCAATACGCGGCATCTGGTATCAGCGGAGAGCGCCATCAGCTCTGTTCCATTTCATTCTACCGTATTAGGTCATCTGACCCTGCAAATTGCAAAAGAGAGGTTTTAAACCACCCAAAAAGCATGCGAGGACTCAGAAGCAGGGGGCAAAACCATACAGCAATTCTGCAGTTGCGACCTTGAACATAATATGAGAAGGCGTCTCTCCGTGAACAACTAATGCCTTGATCTTTGTTTGTTTGTTGTTATTCTTTGGATAGTCCATTGTATGCAGAGCAGTAAGAAGTAAGAACCAACTATGCAACAGCAAATAAAAGCTTCCTACCGTGAGAGAACCTTCAGAATATAATGCTTCATTGAAATCTGCCACAAAGGTCTGTCAGCTTAATTCTTTAATTCGGCATCGTGAAAGGTAATCTCTGGCTTCATTGAAATCTATCACAAAAAGAAAATCAGCAAACGGGAATAACATTGCAGAATTCAATTGCCACAAAAGAAATCTGGTGTTTTCTTAGAGTACCAGGAAGACGGTTGTAATCCGGTTCTATTCCATTCCCATTGATATCCTTGTGGTTTGGTGTCACGTACTTGCCAACTGTGACGACAATACCAGAACCATCATGAAGTTCAAATACAGATTGGATTAACCCCTGCATCACCCCAGACATTGAGTTACCATACCAAAAAGGGCATTGATATAATCCTGTTGATCACAGAAAAAAACAACCATCACAGCATCCCCCCTTTTGGGTGGTTCAAACCTTGCCAAAAGTCCTTTCGCCAACAAGAACAGCTTTGCAATTGTCATGAAGTGCTGAAGCAACCTAAAAAATTATTGGTGCATGAGCTTTGGCTACATGCCATTTCATTACTATCAGTGGACAAAAATGTGTACTTACTATTTCACTGGCGCTTGCTGTCCTATTATTCACCAGCAACTGTCACGAGATGTAGATAAACATATGAGAAATACAATCCGGAGTCTAATCTTAATCTGATTATATAGCAGACATACATGTATGGCATGGTCCAAAAAAAATATTAGAATTATATATTTTTTAACTAGAGGTTACTAGAACAGATAATCTGAATAGTACCATTTCTAAGACCAAGCAATCAAAAAGTGTAAAATCAGAAGAACCGTAGTCCACATACACTAACAAAAGCTCTAAACCTTGATGTTTCACTATGTCAAATTGAGTAAATAAGTGTAAAAAATCCATCAAAGTGGACTTAAAACAATTTTATTGTCACTAGGAGCATGTGCAAATGCAGCTCTTCACACTTTCTATTGAATAGTTTAACAGAACAGTGTAAAACTAGCATTTGCTTTCTCTATTTCTTAGAATTACTGCTTCTTGAAGCTTGAAATAGCTGTATCACCACAACATAAACATACCATAAGGGGAGTATCAATCATAGGTCCACTTTCAGCAACAATTGTGTTTTGGACTAGATGATCCCGGCCAGCAGTATAAATGACCTGAAGAACATAGACACATGAATGCTTTGCATAAAAAAAGTTCATTATATAAAGGACAAATAAACAATCAAATTGCTGAAGTATAACTTGTTAATACGCGTAGGACAGATAATTGGATTTCAGAAAAGATTATATGGAAGCATATGACTTAACTATAGGCGAATATGCATGGACTATTTTTTTCAGAAGTCAAGAATGGGAAATAAACAAAAATTTAAAAGGTCCGAAGTTTGAGGGACCTTCTCATATTGTAGACTCTATTAGAGTAGCTGGGATAGTGGCCCCTTTTCAAAGCTGTCAACAAATTACAACTTCAAACTCGGATCCAACTTTAAAGCGGTGTCGGCATCAAAACAGAAATACAGTGATTTATTGTTTCTAACTTCCAACCAAAATAAAAGGCATTTTTGCACTGTTACTGACTTCAATTTGGAGAAACTGACTAATTGTTCATGAGACTAAGGTTAAACGGAGACTATTATTTGAAGGTTCATGGGATTTAAAAGGAATTTGAGGAAAAAAATGCACTGTTACTTTCACACATGTAAATTTTAAGAATGGTTACAGAAAGCCAGTTGGATATATGGCAGCATTACTGCATCCTTACTGTGTCTCCTTTATTCAGAAAGAGCTTTGCTATCTCGATTCCAGCCTTCAAAAGAAAGTAAAAATAAAAGTGAAGTAAACATCATGACATAAGCCCGTAGCAATACACAAAATAAGTCTCGTTATTTTCTTTCATGATGCAAAGCTTGCGAACAATGAATATAAAAAACTCAGACCAACCTTGGAGTGACTAGTTGGCATTGTAAAAAGACAAAATAAACACCCAAATTCAAATCGAAGAGACTTGAACCTGGGTGGAGCTGTACACTTACACTCATGACTCATATGGTCATATACCTCCCATAGGCTCAGTTACTTACCATCAAAGGAAAAAAAAAACATGATACCTCTAGTCCTCCACACACATCATGCAAGTCTAGCAGACCAAAGACAGGCATAGCATGTTTTATGATTGGGAAGAAAAGGGATGGCATACTTGCACTAGTCCACCAAGATTGTCCCTCAAATCCAGAACAAAATAGGAGGCGCCTGAATTCTGTAGACGTTTAAGCGCTGCAACAGACAACATAAGTCAAATTGACATAGCATGCTATACCAAATTGTTATCATAAAAAAAGATTTCTACAGTCAAGATTACTAATATTTCAATATAAAACAACACATGAATTTCAAAGATGCATAAAAAGATAAATCAATATTTGAAATTTCTTGGATCTTGTTGTTGCTGTAATAGACTGGTACATATATATCTAAGCATAGACCTCTCAGTTTAGACATTAAAAAACTTGACCATAAGGAGAGACTTCCCCTTGGCTTTGTTAAGAGGTAAGACCATGCCCTTTAGGGAGGTACTCACTCTACCTGTGGACACCCGGGAGTATAGACATAAAAATTAGACTATATATAGCATATCAGGCACAGATTGACTAAACTACTGCATCCAGAATATGGAAAAGAAAGAAAAAAGGCAGAAGATAAGGTCAACAAACCAGCAACACACCACTAACCAAATCTTTTTTGGCCACTGCATTGAACTCTGTAATGTGAATATACCCAACAGATGAATCATCATTTTCTCTTTTCTCCAAACGATAGAAAACTGGAGTTCGAGCAACTAGTTGTCTCTGCACCTTCATTGACTCAACAGGACCACAGTCACCGTGCTTAACCTAGAGATAACATAAGAAAGACCACAATAGTCAGATAATGGGTTAAGAGAGATCCTGATTCCTTACGTAATCCAGAAAACATAATTTATTTAGATTGTCCATTACCTTAATCGTAACAAACGTCTCCTTTGGACCTTGCAGCATGGATGAAGCATCAAATGCAGATTTACCCCTTACATCAACGCCGTTGACTGATAAAAGCTCATCACCCTGATAATTGATCAAATAACTTAAACGATTACTTAAACTGTGCACCTTATCCAAACATAAGAAGTGTATCATTAATTAACCCACACATGTATAAAATCAAAGATCAGAAAAACAGACACGTCCAAAGATCTGTACCTACTACATTATTGGCCAGTCCAAGCAGCCAGACTCAAATATACCAAACAAGAGTGCCCTGTGATAATAAAATCATCAATAACAAACTACTAAAAAAACTGCATGTACAAACTAAAAGTCAAGAGCAGTAGAAACAAAATTGCCCCAAAGCTTCTAAGTTGCAAAACTTGCAAGTTTTTTAGCAGTGAACAAAAACAACATGAGCTGAAATTATTCGTTGTATCTCATTCAACTCCTTGGAACCTACTTCGATATAGACAAGGTTCGTCCTTTCTAGCTTCAGTACTAATCTTTTTTTAACATAATTTAGAGGCAGGCATGTGCACATATTCTTTAATCAGTTGGACACCTTAAGTGGGAGTGCAATCAAATGCTGCACATATCCAACTATATTAATTCTAAATGAAATATACAATTTATTTTAGTATATATGAAGTCTGAGTCCTCACTATGTCAACATATTACATCAAGGTTCATTAGAACAATTACAGAACAAACAAATGTTACTAGTAGTATATCGATAGTGGTGAAAGCAATTTTCTCATCAGAAAGTACAGAACAAACCTGTCTAACACCGGCAGAGTAAGCAGGCCCGTCTAACAGCAGCCCTAATACCATCAACTTAAAAGAACCATTGTCATCAGGAATCTCCCGCAGGTTTAATCCAATTCCCGTCATGTCATATTTTGACATCTTTGAGAACTTCAGCAGATTGATTACACATATGCAAAATAGTATCAAAACTGCAACAGTTAGAACATGTATCCACAACAAATGTCCGAGAACAGTAAAATGAAAGGTATTGACACCAATTTGTCTGTGAAAGCAAAGAAAATAAGGAATATGGCATAGCAGGATAACTACATTGTTTAAAGAGGGGTTAAAGTAAGTAACCCAGAGGGATTTACCAATCATTCCCACATGCAACCGTTTGCCCAATTCAAAAGGAATTCAATTATTTCTATGCTATACCTGATGGCCAACTTTCCTTTTCAAAAGACTGTCTACACCAATTTTAGAACTCATAATTGACCATGTCAGCAAGCATGTACAACAACAAGATCATGAGAAAGAAAGAAATGCATTAATGCAAATGAGATCAATACATTGAACAGGAAAAATGCTGAGCTCATATAACTAGCAGCGTGACAGTTGTGACACTTGTGAAAAACTTACTTCTGAGGGGGATAGAAACCGAGTATAAGGGTCACCAAGGCTCGCTAGCATCTTCTGAATGATATCATGGGCTCTAGCACGGGATTTAATTGTGCCTTGGAGAACATCCTGCTTCCTTTGCTGCAGTGGATCAAAATCAACTATCAATCTACGGGGGAACACAATGTGCTCAGCAATCAGCAAGTAAAATGAGCATTGTGGCTTCAATGTCCGTAGATATTATGATGCTACGCAGTTGAACACACAATACACCACGCTCGCCGGTCGCAATGCGGGAAGTCAAACTCACCATCCACATCTCTGGCGACCACGGGCGGCTTGCGGCGTCGGGGAGGAAGCTCTCGTTGACCACCTCCCACGCCTCCTCCACGAGCTGCTCGTTAGTCACCGCCTCGGCCCTCACCTCCTCTACCATCGCCGCGCCCCCGTTCCGGCACACCTCCGTGGGCTGCGCCGCTGACGCCGCGAAAACCGCGCCCACGGCGTTGCCGGAGATGAGAGAGAGGGAGACGGCGGCCGCAGCCGCAGCCGCGCGGAGAGCGTCGGGGAACGGCAACCCGCACGGCTGCGGCCTGGGCCCGCGACTGGGGCCGGAGCCGGGGCCAGGGTTTGCTCGCAACTGCGGCGCCGGTGCCGGCGGCAGGTAGGAGAGTGGCCGCATGGCGGCGCGGCTCGTCGCGTGGCCGGAGATTGGAGGGCGTAAAGCCTGCCCTCCGAACTCCGGTTAGTATTGCTCGTGGGGGTTTGGAGTGGATGATGATAGGTATAGGAGTGGGCTGACTGCTGAGCGGTGGTGAGCAGTGAGCAGTGAGCAGTGGAAGAGGAATTTTGGGCTGCTTTTTCCGCTTTTTCACCCTCTTTTTCAGGAATTATATACGCTTTATTCTTCTCTCGCTATCAACAAGAGCAGCGAGTTTCTAACTGACTAGCACAGGTGGGCGCGCTCAGCTGCGCCGGTTTTCGTCCGGATCGTTTGGTCGTACTTTTTTAGTTAATAAATAATTTTTTTTTATAATAAATCAGTCAACATTATTTTTAATCATGGCTTATTCGCTAAACGAACAGGATAAAACCCAGACCCGTCAACGTGGCAGGACATGCGAAATAATAAATCTGAAGTTGGTAGGTCATTTCCGGGTGAGTAGAATGATAGCTTGTTACATAACATGAGATACGATTAAGAAAGCATGTGGCTAAGCACGTGTTTAGTTCTAAAAACTTTTTCCAAAAAGTGCTACAGTAGTTATCACATCAAATCTTGCGATATATGCATAGAGCATTAAATGTAGATGAAAAAAAACTAATTGCACAGTTTGGTTGGAAATCACGAGACGAACGTTTTGAGCTTAATTAGTCTATGATTGAATACTAATTACTAAATAAAAATGAAAGTGCTACAGTAGCTAAATTCCAACTTTCCCCCCACTAAACACGGGCTAAAAGCTGTGGCACAAAACCATCCACGATTCACAATGAGCAATAATTGGATGTGTGTGTGTGTATATATATATATATATAGGCTGAACAAAAGAGGGAAAACGAAAAGTTTGCAAGTCACAACACTCAATGAACGATATACAAACTCTTCAGACACCGGTACGTTCTGTCCTCAGAAAAATGAGTACATTACTACGTTGTTATCATATTGATGCGGGATGCGGCAAGCGTGGCAGCCGTATGACCTCCTCAGAAAAATGAGTACATTACTACGCTGTTATCATATTGATGCGGGATGCGGCAAGCGTGGCAGCCGTATGACGCCTCTCGCTGTGGTGCGGAGCATTGTGCTGACCATCCTACAAATACCAAACTTTTAAGCCATCTCAAAATCAGTACAACTCAGATATGCAGCCTCCGAATTATGAGAGAAAGAAAGAGCGTAGGCAAGAAAGTAGGATGCGACAAATGATGAAAAAAAATATATTGTGTTTTACTTTCAGTAAATAATTATGTCTCACATAAACTAAGAACACCATAAAAAATATCAATGGAGTATGCACCTAGATACTTGAGAAATATATGATTCATGGAATCATGGTTTACAGTATATAAGTATATGCAATAGAAAAACAGTAGAAGGGGGGCCTTGGCGCAGTGGTAAAGCTGCTGCCTCGTGACCATGAGGCCTGGAAACAGCCTCTTGCACGTAAGCGGGAGCTACGTGTACTGGGGCTGCCCTTTTTTTTAATAGGAAAACAGTATCACATGAACGGTAGTAACTAGAAAGGTACAAAATCAAAACTGCAGAGGTTAGCCACCATATTAGCAGATGCACAGCAAAAAAAATTGTAGAGCTGAGAGTCGTATTGATGAACTTGTAAGAGCAAACACGGAAAGGAAAGTCTAAGTGAGACTATGAAGCAGCATGGTTAGATTGTCCATCCTGACTGGTAGGTAGATGGGTAGTATATGATAAGGATAGGACGTATATAAGCAAATAGCCAATTGCTACAGAATAGAAGAACAAAGTACACCTCATTGACTCAGTTCATAGATAACTATGTGTTATGCAGGCATGATTAATGTGCCAAAAAAAAGATGATAGAAGTTCTGATGAGTACAGGCCCGATCTTCCGAGAGGTAGCCGATAAGTTCGATTTGTGGAGATCTCGACGTTGGCGATCCGGCTTCAAATCAGACGCGATTCGAACCCTGCAACCGTTACACCACTGCTCCGTTGGTTATCAACCAAGCACAATTTGATTGACCTCGTCAAGAAGGCTTTTCCTGCAAGCGAATCGAAGAGCACAAGCAAGAAGGTAAAACACTTAACTCGATATTGCAAATATGAATGACGCGAATATCAATAGAGGGTTCTAGAACTCGGTTCCAAAGGACTAATCGACACGATGGAGGAGATCAAGAACGGGGCCCCGGATCTTTGTAAAAGGATTTGTCACCACAGTTATAATGAACGATTGGGTTCTCGATGAAAAACTAAACTCTAAACAAAACCCAATTGTGTAGCAGGCGGCGGCGGCTGTGTTTATAGTCTAAGACTCGACCTAGGGTTGGGGACGACCGGGGGTTGGGCGCCCACAACTTGGGCTTAAGGTCCGACACGATACATGGTCAAGTTGGCCCAAATAGGTGACGCAGCATCTTGCCGTGGTCACACAGAATAATCCACGGACCTTCTGGAGCTGGGACTAGATCCAAAACGACGCGTCGTCGTCCCCTTTCCAACGCATCCAAGAACGGCCCGTTTCGATGTCGTATGAGAAAGTTATGGATCAAAACAGTGGACGACGTGTCTGCTGAATCCGAGGGGCGACGTGGCGGTGAGTTGGGAACGAATTGCAACTGGAGAAGACCATGGCGTCGGTGTGTCCAGCATGGCGATGTCCTCATCATCCTCCCTTCTCGAATTGGAGTCGTCCTCGACTCCATCTTGGCGATGTCCTCATCATCCCTCCTTCTAGAATTGGAGTCGCCCTCGATTCCATCCCATCATCACGAACTCCCGCAAAAGGTTAGTGACATGCAGCGGGCAATGCACAGAGACATAAAAGGTTGACAAAACATAGTATAACATGGTGCATCGGGATTATCACATAACTCAGTGAGTAGCAGAAGTTGTAGCAAGAAAAGCACCTCCTTTTAACTTAATCCCATTATTTTTAGCAATGTCTCGTTGGAGGTTTATTTTTAATCTCATTAGCATGTTTAACAAATATCCGTAGGAGACAAAGGCAACAATGTAATTTTCTTGTCCTTATGTATGATAGTGTATGTATTAGTTCTACCATGGTGTAAAGCATCATTATCAAATTCCCATGGTCGACCTAACAAAATGGAACAAGCTTGCATAGGGACAACATCAAAATCAGCAGATATCATGATAAGAGCTCGTGAAAAAAAAGCTAATGCGTCTTTGATTTAGTTACCTTAGTCTTACCACTATTATTGAACCATTAAAGTTTATATGGATACGAATGTTGTCGTGTGGTCAAGCCAAGCTTGTCAACCAAATCTGAACTCACCAAGTTGTTGCAACTCCCGCCATCAATGATAGTGAGAACACGACAACCCCGCACAATGAGATACATGTGGAACAAATTGTGGCGTTGGATCTTCATCTCTTCTTCATGTCCCACACGTGTACTCAACACACGCCGCACAAGAAGGCTAGGGTAGTCCATGGCAGCAGCTCACGAAGTCAATGGTGATGGCCTCTTTGTCTTGATCGCCCTCGGTGGGATCTGCATCAATGTTAGCAAAGACAAGGGCTAAATCATCTTCAACATCACTAGCACTTACATATCCATCCTCGGTAGCAATGAAAAGAGCGACGACTGGGCACTCCTTCATGACATGTCCCATGCCTTTACATTGGTGGCAAATGATTTTAGAGTTGGACGAGGAGGAGCTAGTAGAAGCACCCGGAGTGGCACCTTTCTTCAAAGATGGAAAGCGCATATTAGACAATTTACTTACCCCGAAAGAAAATGGAGGTGTAGATGGTCGTGGTGCAACAGAAGCTTAGGCGTCTCCGGCTCGGAACAGCTGCTGAAATTTTCTCCCATTGTTAGACACGAAAAAATTTGGTGTTGTTTGCGCCCCTGTGCATTTTCTCGTTCGCCTTAATAGCAAAATGATACAATTGGAAAAAATTACGCCATTCTTTGTAATCAAGTATGTTCTGTATATCATGGTTTAAACCACCAAAAAATCTAGCACTAGCATCATTATCATCTTCATTTATACTACAACGTGCTAAACCAATAAGCAATTCTTGATAGTATGCTTCTACTCTTTTATCACCTTGTTTTAAAGTTTGTAGTTTCAAACGTAAATCACGTTGGTAATAAGGAGGAACAAAACGAGATTTCATACGTTGCTTTAAAACATTCCAAGTTTGAGGCACAGCAGCAGCATTATTGGCATTGCAAAGATCACTCCACCAGAACAAAGCAAAATTAGTAAACTCACTAGTAGCAAGTCTAACTCTATGCTTAGCAGAAACATTATGGGAATCAAATTTTTGTTGAACAGCAAGCTCCCAATCTAAATATGCCTCTGGATCAACATTACCAGCAAAAGGAGGTAGACTAAATTTAATTTTAGCAAAAGGATCATTATTACCATGATTATTACCTTCCATACCGCGACGATTGAAGTTGAGACGGCAACGGGCACCACCGTCATCTTCATCACCAAAAGCATCCGCATCTTCATCATCAGCACGATAAGGTGGAGGGCGTTGCTCAAGCTGTTCAATGCGGGTGACCAGATTGTTCACGTTACGCGTCAGCTCGGTCATAAGATTGCGTTGTTCAGTCATGAACGTTGTAAGCTCGCCCTTGGACACGCACTTATTGAAGTACGTCGGAGTTTCTGCCATGGTTAGAAAATAGAAAAAGACAACACCAAAGTATTATCCCTATCAACTAAAAGGAAACAAGTGGTGGTGGTGATGGTGGTGAAAGTGAAATGCAAAATCACAAGCGGCTTACCACCGTCTTGCCTGTATTCTTACCAACGCCAAACAGGACCAAAACCAAAGTGGCAAAGCAATCTGTTGTTGAGCGTGGGTAATAGTTGTAAGATGAACCTGTGCTGACAGAAGAATATGTGGAGCTATGGATAGGCACACAATATGACAGCAAGGATTAGCAATTAACGAGTGCAGATTAACGATTGTTCAATCCGGATCCAAAG